TCATTGGCTATTTTACACGATAACATCGGTTTGATGTATAAAAACATGGGCAAGAACTCGAAAGCACTTTCATATTACGAAAAAGCACTTGAAATCTTTCAGAAAGCTCTTCCTTCAAATCATCCTGATTTAGCTATTTCGTACAACAACATCGGTTTGGCGTGTGACAGCATGGGAGAGTACTCGAAAGCACTTTCATATTACGAAAAAGCACTTGAGATTCGAGAAAAAATTCTTCCTTCAAATCATCCTGATTTGGCTACTTCATACTGGTCCATGGGTAGTGTGTATCATAATATGAAAGACTATTCGAAAGCACTTTCATATTTTGAACGTGCTCTGAACATATTCCAACGTGCATTACCTCCGACTCACCCTCATATTAAAGATGTGAAAGAGAGTATTGAAATTAATTCTATTTTCTAGTGGCTCGCGCGCACGTACATAGAACAATTCTGGAAGTAATAAAAACGTAATGAACAAAGCTGACTGATAAGATAATACACATACATATGTATGTGTGTATATGACCTTCTCAGACATATTTACATTTCTAATTCGTTACGAGAGTGTTCCCTGTAATAAAAGAAGAATAACTAATATAGAATTGAATTTTAATAGTGTTGAATGAGGTCTCATATGATGAACAAAAAGTGAGAAAGCTGCGATACATATATGTATGGGTATGTTTGCAATATTTTACTTTGAAAAGCAAATGCACTAATAAAGAATGAAAAGATAGACAAAAAAAACAAAATTAAGCGTGTTTATACTAAATCAACTAGAGATAAGTTCAATTAGTATAGTGATACAAGTAGATATGCGTCATGTCAAGATCCATCTATACCATGAATAGTTAATCGAAACCAAGATAAGTCTTGTTCTAGATGATCAAAATTACTTTAAAACACTAAACTTAGCTGTTTAGATTGCAACCATGAGGGTGAGTACTGAATTAACTGACTGAATTGTAGTTTCAATGATTGTTTAGATTCTGATAAAGTTTAAACAATTAGTAGGGTTCATTGAATTAACTATTTTCTTTTATGATCTAAATGGTTGAGATAAACTCATCTAATACATTATTTCAACTTTTATTTGATTTAACATAAACAATGAAATCTAAAAGTAATTACTAATATATTTATTATAATGTATATTATAAATAATCAATATCTATCATAAGTAATGATGACGTTACAATAAAATTTATTTTATACCATTTTTACATATAAAATCCCATGTGTAGATAATAAAACATGTATATTTTTTCTTGAAAGATTGAACTAAATTACTTCCTGAATATTTCGTATCAAACAATAATTTGATTAGAATTACAAGTTAAAAATAATATGCAATTTAAAAGTTGTTTTTAAATATTTGCTTAATTATATGATATAATCAATTCCACAGGCTGCATCATCAGTCGTCATTTACAGAATAAGCTACATTGTTCTTGTAAATTATTAACATAATAATTAAAGTAAATGAAAAGAATTTTTCTTGTTCTTCTTTTCATGATCTCGGAATCTATATAGTTTTTTTACGATGCACTTAATACTTAAATTAATTATACTTTAGATAAGTGATTCAAAGGAATAGCACGATCTATGAAACATCCATATATAAAATTTCTGCACTTGTTCGAGCGCTTAATGATGAATGTTTAAGTTTTCGAAGGGTGTGGGTATGGGCGAGTCTATAGATGTATCTTCTCTTTGTCTGTTCGATTGTTTAGAGTACACAATTGCAGTAAAGTTAGATGAATTTCATAGTAAGACTTAACACTGGTAGTTGTGATATGATATATCAGTATGAATATTCTATCACAAATCTTGAAATGTGACAAAAACAAAGTTCATAGTCGAAGTCGTGTTTTTGCGACGCTTTCTGTAAACGAATGGTATCAGTTCGATTTTGCTATATTCATCTCGTGTTTAAACGAATATCTTCTGATGTTCTGTTCCTGAGATAAGTAAGAAAGAAAACTCGCGAAGGACTACTTAAACGACTGGCTTTGCATCGCATACTTTTCGATATACGTCAGGTATCGAGAGGTTTCTCGGAATTCATAAACAAAAATAAACGTTGAAATTTTTTATTTAACAAAAAGAAAAAATTTAACAAGTTCGAAAATCTATGATTCAATGATCTTTCGTTAAAAAGCAAAAATAATCTTTTCAATTAATTGGTTTTAATAAAATTTTTGTTTCGCATCCATAATATCCTGTTTGACGATCAGGTTCATGCATTATACTTAAATGTAACTCATTTAATTCAATTTGTCCAAAATCAAATTGTCCAAAAAGACGTAAAACTTTTTTAGCATCAAATGATTCACGTTCTTGATTTTTAACTCTTCCACGTGTTGTTTTTTGTGCTTCTAATATTCCTGTATCATCTTTACGTAATAATGAATTCATTAATGTTACATGTAATTTAATACGATCAAATTTTTGTTTCATAAGACCTGTATTTACTAATTCTTCATTTAAACGATCAAGAAAATTTTGTAAACGATTTGAATTTGTTTGATCGACTAATTGTACTTTAGCATAAAGTACATCGACAAAACCGGGATCATCATTCATAAATTCAAGTCCTTTTAATTGTACTATAAAACGTTCTTTATCTGTTGGCATAATAGTTTTTAATAACGTTTTTGTACATTCTTGTAAAGTTTCTTTAATATAATTTATTTCAGATTTTGATAATAAAACAAGTGTACCAATTGTTAAATGTAATTTATTAACTTGTTGAAATAATTCATTTGTTATTCCACGTTCATCAGAACATTGTTCGAGAACATTTTTTTTAAATTCTTCATATTTTTGTTTAAGATTTATTGATGTTGATGATTGACATATTGGAATCGAAAGAAAATGTGTAAATGGTTGCATTTGACGACTTCGATCAATAATTATTTCAATTCGTGTACGAGCTGATTGTACATTTGCTTTAGTACGACTACGAATTTTTACTGTACCAATTTCATCACGACGTGGAAAAACAATCTGTGCATTTGTTTCCGATTCTAATTTATGTTTATTTTCAGCATTTTTACCAATTAAAACACCATAAAATGCAGATGCAATATCCATTTCACATACATACATATTTTCTTTAGCTAGAAAATCAATTGTATCATCATCTTCAACTGGTGGTTGTTCTTTATGTACTATGAATAAAAATAAGAAAGTCACTTTGATGATTTTCAATAATATGTTTACAGAATTATTTCTCCTAGCATTATTAGATTATAACTCGTACAATAGTCATTGCAGTTAATGGGAAATTTTACATTTACTAAATCTAAATTTTCGACAAAAGGGTTAGAAATAATACCAGTTTGAGTTTTTGCTTCTGATTCTTTTGTTGATCTTTGTTGTTGTGGTTTACAACTTGGTTCATCATCATCATCATCATTATTACCATCATCAAAATTATTGGTATAATAATCTGCTTCTTCTTCCTCTCGATATACCTGATGTTGTTGAGTATTAGTGGATTCAAGACCTGGTAAAGATGATGGATTAATACGATAAGATCGATTACCAATAGTAAGAAGGTCTGGTCGAAGAATTGACAATGAAGACATGGAGAAGAAAACAAAAATCAACTATTATTATATTTTGTCTAAAATCCGTTAGATAGGGAACAATAATTTATTAAACTTGCTCTTTTTT